GTGGTATCATATGCTAGGCTCTTCTGCACCAAACGTCGACCATTAACTTTTGCTAAGAAGCCCCAAGCACTTCTTTTGCCTTTTGTCACTGAACTGTCTGTGTAAATGATCAAATATTCTGAGCGAGCATTATCTTGAATTAATTGCTGAATTTCCATCTCTGTGGCACCTGCTGGCCAGTCTCTGCATTCCCAGCTCAGCGTGATTATGACCCTACACAGGTCTGACTGCTCAGGTGGCACTTTGACCCACTCCTCTCCTCGTTATGTTGACTGTTGGGACCCTTATTCAGACCTGTATCCCATATTCTAATGCCAACCAGGCAGGTCCTGTATTGTGATGCCAACCAGTCAGGTTCTCTTACCTGATGCCAACCAGTCAGGTTCTCTTACCTGATGCCAACCAGTCAGGTTCTCTTACCTGATGCCAACCAGTCAGGTTCTCTTACCTGATGCCAACCAGTCAGGTTCTCTTACCTGATGCCAACCAGTCAGGTTCTCTTACCTGATGCCAACCAGTCAGGTTCTCTTACCTGATGCCAACCAGTCAGGTTCTCTTACCTGATGCCAACCAGTCAGGTTCTCCTACCTGATGCCAACCAGTCAGGTTCTCTTACCTGATGCCAACCAGTCAGGTTCTCTTACCTGATGCCAACCAGTCAGGTTCTCTTACCTGATGCCAACCAGTCAGGTTCTCTTACCTGATGCCAACCAGTCAGGTGTTGTTTTTGCCTGGTTGAGTGTTTGATGGTCTGGTCATGGTGCTGAGTGGATAGACGCTCACCTGGTGGTCTGAAGAGTTGTATGTTTGAAACTGCACTATGACGATATAAAACAAAACAAATTGACATTGGCTCCCAGGTCATCTGAGCCTACAGTGGGTATCAGCAAATGCCTTGAAAAGTAAAGGTAGCTGGCGTGACATTGATCACAGCGGCCATCGAATGGCAGGTTTTAGATACAAATAGAAGTTTAGCACATTTGTCTAGTGCGCCACAATGTTAAAAGATCTTGTACCTCTCACTGACTTGACCTGACTGACTCTCTGCTCCCTCCCACCAACCCCAGACAGTACCTACTATTTTCTGTTCATGTTTATTTAAACAGTTTTTTCTGTTTTTGTTATATTGTATTTGTACAACATGTTTATGTCAGTGTTTAATTGTTGTACATCTTTCTGCAGCTTTTTTTTTTCTGTTTGCAAATGTTTCATTGACAGTCAAGGTTAATATTGGTTTTCCTGAAATGTGAATATCAGCAAGGAAAGTTATAAAATATGTTTATTGTTGCTTGTTAGTTGGATCTGATTTTTGTTACATGTGGTTTAATGTTGATTGTTTGTTGGATCTCATGTTTGTTACATGTGGTGTAGTGTTGCTTGTTTGTTAGATCTGTTTGTTACATGTAGTGTATTGTTGCATGTTTGTTAGATCTGATGTTTGTTACATGTAGTGTATTGTTGCATGTTTGTTAGATCTGTTGTTTGTTACATGTAGTGTATTGTTGTATGTTTGTTAGATCTGTTGTTTGTTACATGTAGTGTATTGTTGTATGTTTGTTAGATCTGTTGTTTGTTACATGTAGTGTATTGTTGTATGTTTGTTAGATCTGTTGTTTGTTACATGTGGTGTAGTGTTGCATGTTTGTTAGATCTGCTGTTTGTTACATGTAGTGTATTGTTGCATGTTTGTTAGATCTGTTGTTTGTTACATGTAGTGTATTGTTGTATGTTTGTTAGATCTGTTGTTTGTTACATGTAGTGTATTGTTGTATGTTTGTCGAATCTGATGTTTGTTACATGTAGTGTATTGTTGCATGTTTGTTAGATCTGTTGTTTGTTAATGTAGTGTATTGTTGCATGTTTGTCGAATCTGATGTTTGTTACATGTGGTGTATTGTTGCATGTTTGTCAGATCTGATGTTTGTTACATGTAGTGAATTGTTGCATGTTTGTCGGATCTGATGTTTGTTACATGTGGTGTATTGTTGCATGTTTGTCGGATCTGATGTTTGTTAATGTGGTGTATTGTTGCATGTTTGTCGGATCTGATGTTTGTTACATGTGGTGTATTGTTGCATGTTTGTCGGATCTGATGTGAACACAACAATTGTTATTGCCTTTACAGAACCAGAAGATCCAGCTGGACTTACTGAGGGGTCAATTTCAAGAGGCAGTTCAGAGGTTCCAGACTCTACAGAAGGTTTGCCGTCTCTGTGACCTGAGTCTGTAGTTTGACCTAACGTTACCACACTAGTGGGTCATAACACCAGTGGGTCACCACACCAATGGGTCACCACACTGGTGGGTCACCACACCAGTGGGGATGGGTCAGTTCTGGTCAGCGGTGCCACATGTTGCACTGGCTCCGCCTGAGTGTCTGTCTGGTGCAGAAGTAGGACGGTAGAAATGCAGTGTTCGAACAGAGCTGAAGCTTCTTAGTGTTGGTTTGTTGATGGAAGTCAGGAGGCTCGTGACACAAGAGACATGGAGATGTATGAAAGCAGCTGGCAGTGGAGAACGGTGACTACCATAGATCAAGGTCTAGCAATCAAAGCACTTCAGTCCTATTTAGTGACACACCTCCTTGTCAGTGATGTTGTCATCTCCTTGTTGATGACATCATCTCCTTGTTGATAATATTGTCATCTCTTTGTCAGCGATGTGATCATTTCCTTGGCAGCGATGTTCTCATCTTGTTGATAATGATGTCATCTCCTTGTCAGTGATGTTATCATCTCCTTGTTGATGATATTGTCATCTCCTTGTCAATGATGTTGTCTCTTTGTTGATGATGTTGTCATCTCCTTGTTGATGATGATGTCATTTCCTTGTCAGTGACACTATCATCTCCTTGCCAGCAATGTTGTCATCTCCATATTAATAATATTGAAGGCCACTGTGCATTCAGTTTCAATACCTTATTCTTGCTATTTGGCAGCACCCTGTTGACAGTTGTTTCAGCTAATTTCAGTTTGCTGTTAAAATTAAGAACAGAAATATAGTTGAGAGGCAGCTGTGTGAGACATCATGTTACAGAAATATAGTTGAAAGGCTGTGTGAGACATCATGTTACAGAAATATACTTGAGAGCCAGCCATGTAAGACATCATGTTACAGAAATATAGTTGAAAGGCTGTGTGAGACATCATGCTACAAAAATATAGTTGAGAGCCAGCCATGTGGGACATCATGTTACAGAAATATAGTAGAGAGGCAGCTGTGTGAGACATCATGTTACAGAAATATAGTAGAGAGCCAGCTGTGTGAGACATCATGTTACAGAAATATAGTAGGGAGCCAGCCATGTGAGACATCATGTTACAGAAATATAGTAGAGAGCAAGCCATGTGAGACATCATGTTACAGAAATATAGTAGAGAGGCAGCTGTGTGAGACATCATGTTACAGAAATATAGTAGAGAGCCAGCTGTGCGAGACATCATGTTACAGAAATATAGTAGAGAGCCAGCCATATGAGACATCATGTTACAGAAATATAGTAGAGAGCCAGCTGTGTGAGACATCATGTTACAGTAAATATAGTAGAGAGCCAGCCATGTGAGACATCATGTTACAGAAATATAGTAGAGAGCAAGCCATGTGAGACATCATGTTACAGAAATATAGTAGAGAGGCAGCTGTGTGAGACATCATGTTACAGAAATGTAGTAGAGAGCCAGCTGTGTGAGACATCATGTTACAGAAATATAGTAGAGAGCCAGCTGTGTGAGACATAGCATAGAGGCAGCTGTGTGAGACATTATGTTACAGAAATATAGTAGAGAGCCAGCTGTGTGAGACATCATGTTACAGTAAATATAGTAGAGAGCCAGCCATGTGAGACATCATGTTACAGAAATATAGTAGAGAGCCAGCCATGTGAGACATCATGTTACAGAAATATAGTAGAGAGCCAGCCGTGTGAGACATCATGTTACAGAAATTTAGTAGAGAGCCAGCCATGTGAGACATCATGTTAAAGAAATATAGTAGAGAGCCAGCTGTGTGAGACATCATGTTACAGAAATATAGTAGAGAGCCAGCTGTGTGAGACATGTTACAGAAATATAGTATAGAGCCAGCTGTGTGAGACATGTTACAGAAATATAGTAGAGAGGCAGCCGTGTGAGACATGTTACAGAAATATAGTAGAGAGCCAGCTGTGTGAGACATCATGTTACAGAAATATAGTAGAGAGCCAGCTGTGTGAGACATGTTACAGAAATATAGTAGAGAGCCAGCTGTGTGAGACATCATGTTACAGAAATATAGTTGAGAGGCAGCCATGTGAGACATCATGTTACAGAAATATAGTAGAGAGCCAGCTGTGTGAGACATCATGTTACAGAAATATAGTTGAGAGGCAGCCATGTGAGACATCATGTTACAGAAATATAGTTGAGAGGCAGCTGTGTGAGACATCATGTTACAGAAATATAGTTGAGAGGCAGCCGTGTGAGACATCATGTTACAGAAATATAGTAGAGAGCCAGCTGTGTGAGACATCATGTTACAGAAATATAGTAGAGAGGCAGCTATGTGAGACATCATGTTACATACATATAGTTGAAAGGCAGCCATGTGAGACATGTTACAGACATATAGTTGAGAGTCAGCCATGTGAGACATCATGTTACAGAAATATAGTTGAGAACCAGCTATGTGAGACATCATGTCACAGAAATATAGTTGAAAGGCAGCCATGTGAGACATCATGTTACAGAAAAATAGTTGAGAGCCAGCTGTGTGAGACATTGTGTTGCAGAAATATAGAGAGCCAGCTGTGTGAGACATCATGTTACAGAAATATAGTTGAGAGGTAGCCGTGTGAGACATCATGTTACAGAAATATAGTTGAGAGGCAGCCATGTGAGACATCATGTTACAGAAATATAGTTGAGAGGCAGCTGTGTGAGACATCATGTTACAGAAATATAGTTGAGAGGCAGCCGTGTGAGACATCATGTTACAGAAATATAGTTGAGAGGCAGCCGTGTGAGACATCATGTTACAAATATTGGTTGAATATATGTTTTCTGCTGAAGCTTTATCATCATCATTCTTCATATGCCATTGTAGGTGATCATGTTGCTTCCCAATCATCTACTTTCTGTGCTGTTGGTAGATTGTGTGTCTAAATATTTTCTGTAGATTTATGTCAACACATCCAGCTTTTCTGCTGTTGTCAGCTCCCTGTCTCTGACCTCCTCATATGTACACCTGTTACAGCCCCCTGTCTTTAGCCTCCTGAATCTGTCCACTTGTGAAAGCTCTCTCCAGGCCCTCTGATCTTATAACGATCATGAGAAAGTGATGATTACCTTGTCCTAATCTGGATAATTGTCTGACTCTATCAGTTTGCCTCTCAAACACCTGTACATCTGTCTCCTTACCTGTCAGTGGTTTCCCCATCTGTCAGCGGTATCCCCATCTGTCAGTGGTATCCCCACCTGTAAGTGGTATCCCCACCTGATCCCCACCTGTTAGTGGTATCCCCACCTGTCAGTGGTATCCCCATCTGTTAGTGGTATCCCCATCTGTTAGTGGTATCCCCATCTGTCAGTGGTATCCCCACCTGTCAGTGGTATCCCCACCTGTCAGTGGTATCCCCATCTGTAAGTGGTATCCCCACCTGTCAGTGGTATCCCCACCTGTCAGTGGTATCCCCACCTGTCAGTGGTATCCCCACCTGTCAGTGGTATCCCCAGCTGTTAGTGGTATCCCCAGCTGCCAGTGGTATCCCCATCTGTTAGTGGTATCCCCATCTGTCAGTGGTATCCCCAGCTGCCAGTGGTTTTCCCAGCTGTCAGTGGTTTCCCCATCTGCCAGTGGTATCCCCATCTGTTAGTGGTATCCCCAGCTGCCAGTGGTATCCCCACCTGTCAGTGGTATCCCCATCTGTTAGTGGTATCCCCACCTGTCAGTGGTATCCCCACCTGTCAGTGGTATCCCCAGCTGCCAGTGGTATCCCCACCTGTCAGTGGTTTCCCCACCTGTCAGTGGTATCCCCACCTGTCAGTGGTATCCCCACCTGTCAGTGGTTTCCCCACCTGTCAGTGGTATCCCCACCTGTCAGTGGTTTCCCCAGCTGCCAGTGGTTTCCCCACCTGTCAGTGGTATCCCCACCTGTCAGTGGTATCCCCAACTGCCAGTGGTTTCCCCACCTGTCAGTGGTTTCCCCACCTGTCAGTGGTATCCCCACCTGCCAGTGGTATCCCCACCTGTTAGTGGTATCCCCACCTGTCAGTGGTATCCCCACCTGTCAGTGGTTTCCCCAGCTGTCAGTGGTTTCCCCAGCTGTCAGTGGTTTCCCCAGCTGTCAGTGGTATCCCCACCTGTCAGTGGTATCCCCACCTGTCAGTGGTATCCCCACCTGTCAGTGGTATCCCCACCTGTCAGTGGTATCCCCAGCTGTCAGTGGTTTCCCCACCTGTCAGTGGTATCCCCATCTGTTAGTGGTATCCCCACCTGTCAGTGGTATCCCCACCTGTCAGTGGTTTCCCCACCTGTCAGTGGTATCCCCACCTGTCAGTGGTTTCCCCAGCTGTCAGTCCCCCTTCCCCCTCATCTGTCAGTAGGATTCATGGTGTTCTGGGAAGAAACCACTTCTGTGTATCCTCTAGTTTCTGTTTCCAATTCTGGGATTCAGATAATTCTTCTTCTTCACACTCACCAGCTGTCAACTTTAGCAGAAATGTATGCTTATTCATCTATCTTTGCACTTGAAACCAGAACCTGAGAGTTGCATGTCACGTACGTTTGACAGATCTGGCTTATTTATGTGCAGACTGTTAGTTCCCTGCCTATCTGGCAGAGACACTTTGAAGAAAGTCCTAAATTACTGGACTCTTTCGACATGCTGATCAGGGAGGCAGTGGGTCTGTTCTTGTTTCCCCCCTCACTGGGGCCCAGGAACCCACATGGGAGATTCAGGCAATTGATTTACAGACATCTTGTATCTGCCCAAGTAGTGCGGTTGTGTGTCTGCACAAGTAGTGCGGTTGTGTGTCTGCACAAGTAGTGCGGTTGTGTGTCTGCACAAGTAGTGCGGTTGTGTGTCTGCACAAGTAGTGCGGTTGTGTGTCTGCACAAGTAGTGCGGTTGTGTGTGTGCACAAGTAGTGCAGTTGTGTGTGTGCACAAGTAGTGCAGTTGTGTGTCTGCACAAGTAGTGCGGTTGTGTGTCTGCACAAGTAGTGCGGTTGTGTGTCTGCACAAGTAGTGCGGTTGTGTGTCTGCACAAGTAGTGCGGTTGTATGTCTGCACAAGTAGTGCGGTTGTGTGTCTGCACAAGTAGTGTGGTTGTGTGTCTGCACAAGTAGTTTGGTTGTGTGTCTGCCCAAGTAGTGCGGTTGTGTGTCTGCCCAAGTAGTGCGGTTGTGTGTCTGCCCAAGTAGTGCGGTTGTGTGTCTGCACAAGTAGTGTGGTTGTGTCTGCCTAAGTAGTGCGGTTGTGTGTCTGCCCAAGTAGTGCGGTTGTGTGTCTGCCCAAGTAGTGCAGTTGTGTCTCTCTGCACAGTGTGGTTGTTTGTCTGCCCAAGTAGTGCGGTTGTGTGTCTGCCCAAGTAGTGAGGTTGTGTGTCTGCCCAAGTAGTGCGGTTGTGTGTCTGCCCAAGTAGTGCGGTTGTGTGTCTGCACAAGTAGTGCGGTTGTGTGTCTGCCCAAGTAGTGCGGTTGTGTGTCTGCCCAAGTAGTGCGGTTGTGTGTCTGCACAAGTAGTGTGGTTGTGTGTCTGCCCAAGTAGTGCGGTTGTGTGTCTGCCCAAGTAGTGCGGTTGTGTGTCTGCCCAAGTAGTGCGGTTGTGTGTCTGCACAAGTAGTGTGGTTGTGTGTCTGCTCAAGTAGTGCGGTTGTGTGTCTGCCCAAGTAGTGTGGTTGTGTGTCTGCACAAGTAGTGTGGTTGTGTCTGCAGAAGTAGTGCGGTTGTGTGTCTGCACAAGTAGTGCGTTTGTGTGTGTGCACAAGTAGTGCGGTTGTGTGCGGACAAGTAGTGCGGTTGTGTGCGGACAAGTAGTGCGGTTATGTGCGGACAAGTAGTGCGGTTGTGTGCGGACAAGTAGTGCGGTTGTGTGTCTGCACAAGTAGTGCGGTTGTGTGTCTGCACAAGTAGTGCGGTTGTGTGTCTGCACAAGTAGTGCGGTTGTGTGTCTGCACAAGTAGTGCGGTTGTGTGTCTGCACAAGTAGTGCGGTTGTGTGTCTGCACAAGTAGTGCGGTTGTGTGTCTGCACAAGTAGTGCGGTTGTGTGTGTGCACAAGTAGTGCAGTTGTGTGTCTGCACAAGTAGTGCGGTTGTGTGTCTGCACAAGTAGTGCGGTTGTGTGTCTGCACAAGTAGTGCGGTTGTGTGTCTGCACAAGTAGTGCGGTTGTATGTCTGCACAAGTAGTGCGGTTGTGTGTCTGCACAAGTAGTGTGGTTGTGTGTCTGCACAAGTAGTTTGGTTGTGTGTCTGCCCAAGTAGTGCGGTTGTGTGTCTGCCCAAGTAGTGCGGTTGTGTGTCTGCCCAAGTAGTGCGGTTGTGTGTCTGCACAAGTAGTGTGGTTGTGTCTGCCTAAGTAGTGCGGTTGTGTGTCTGCCCAAGTAGTGCGGTTGTGTGTCTGCCCAAGTAGTGCAGTTGTGTCTCTGCACAGTGTGGTTGTTTGTCTGCCCAAGTAGTGCGGTTGTGTGTCTGCCCAAGTAGTGAGGTTGTGTGTCTGCCCAAGTAGTGCGGTTGTGTGTCTGCCCAAGTAGTGCGGTTGTGTGTCTGCACAAGTAGTGCGGTTGTGTGTCTGCCCAAGTAGTGCGGTTGTGTGTCTGCACAAGTAGTGTGGTTGTGTGTCTGCCCAAGTAGTGCGGTTGTGTGTCTGCCCAAGTAGTGCGGTTGTGTGTCTGCCCAAGTAGTGCGGTTGTGTGTCTGCACAAGTAGTGTGGTTGTGTGTCTGCTCAAGTAGTGCGGTTGTGTGTCTGCCCAAGTAGTGTGGTTGTGTGTCTGCACAAGTAGTGTGGTTGTGTCTGCAGAAGTAGTGCGGTTGTGTGTCTGCACAAGTAGTGCGTTTGTGTGTGTGCACAAGTAGTGCGGTTGTGTGCGGACAAGTAGTGCGGTTGTGTGCGGACAAGTAGTGCGGTTATGTGCGGACAAGTAGTGCGGTTGTGTGCGGACAAGTAGTGCGGTTGTGTGTGTGCACAAGTAGTGTGGTTGTGTGTCTGCCCAAGTAGTGCGGTTGTGTGTCTGCCCAAGTAGTGCGGTTGTGTGTCTGCACAAGTAGTGCGGTTGTGTGTCTGCACAAGTAGTGCGGCTGTGTGTCTGCACAAGTAGTGCGGTTGTGTGCGGACAAGTAGTGTGGTTGTTTGCGGACAAGTAGTGTGGCTGTGTGCGGACAAGTTGTGCGGCTGTGTGCGGACAAGTAGTGTGGCTGTGTGCGGACAAGTACTGTGGCTGTGTGCGGACAAGTAGTGTAGTTATATTGGAATCAATAGTCTGCATGTGTCTGCACAAGAAATGTGGTTGTGGGTATCCAGTAGTGTAGTTTGATGGAGACCAGTCATGACCTAACAATACTTTATTCCTCATTACATATATTATGTTACCACAGTTCATAACATTACTGCTCTTTCCGTATTCCCTTTGTGTGTTCAGTGTTTGATGCAGCGGCCATCCCTTGGTACTAATATCCAACTCTTCCCATGAGGAATAGATTATGTCTCCTATCAGGACATCCAAAACAACATCAACTCTTCCCATGAGGAATAGATTATGTCTCCCATCAGGACATCCAAAACAACATCAACTCTTCCCATGAGGAATAGATTACGTCTCCTATCGTGACATCCAAAACAACATCAACTCTTCCGATGAGGAATAGATTATGTCTCCCATCAGGACATCCAAAACAACATCAACTCTTCCAATGAGGAATAGATTATGTCTCCTGTCATGACATCCAAAACAACATCAACTCTTCCCATGAGGAATAGATTATGTCTCCTGTCATGACATCCAAAACAACATCAACTCTTCCCATGAGGAATAGATTATGTCTCCTATCATGACATACAAAACAACATCAACTCTTCCCATGAGGAATAGATTATGTCTCCTATCATGACATCCACAACAACATCAACTCTTCCCATGAGGAATAGATTATGTCTCCTATCATGACATACAAAACAACATCAACTCTTCCCATGAGGAATAGATTATGTCTCCTATCATGACATCCACAACAACATCAACTCTTACTATGAGGAATAGATTATGTCTCCTGTCATGACATACAAAACAACATCAACTCTTCCCATGAGGAATAGATTATGTCTCCCATCAGGACATCCAAAACAACATCAACTCTTCCCATGAGGAATAGATTATGTCTCCTGTCATGACATACAAAACAACATCAACTCTTCCCATGAGGAATAGATTATGTCTCCCATCAGGACATCCAAAACAACATCAACTCTTCCAATGAGGAATAGATTATGTCTCCTGTCATGACATCCAAAACAACATCAACTCTTCCCATGAGGAATAGATTATGTCTCCTGTCATGACATCCAAAACAACATCAACTCTTCCCATGAGGAATAGATTATGTCTCCTATCATGACATACAAAACAACATCAACTCTTCCCATGAGGAATAGATTATGTCTCCTATCATGACATCCACAACAACATCAACTCTTCCCATGAGGAATAGATTATGTCTCCTATCATGACATACAAAACAACATCAACTCTTCCCATGAGGAATAGATTATGTCTCCTATCATGACATCCACAACAACATCAACTCTTACTATGAGGAATAGATTATGTCTCCTGTCATGACATACAAAACAACATCAACTCTTCCCATGAGGAATAGATTATGTCTCCCATCAGGACATCCAAAACAACATCAACCCTTCCCATGAGGAATAGATTATGTCTCCTGTCATGACATACAAAACAACATCAACTCTTCCCATGAGGAATAGATTATGTCTCCTGTCATGACATACAAAACAACATCAACTCTTCCCATGAGGAATAGATTATGTCTCCTATCATGACATCCACAACAACATCAACTCTTCCCATGAGGAATAGATTATGTCTCCTATCATGACATCCACAACAACATCAACTCTTACTATGAGGAATAGATTATGTCTCCTGTCATGACATACAAAACAACATCAACTCTTCCCATGAGGAATAGATTATATCTCCCATCAGGACATCCAAAACAACATCAACTCTTCCCATGAGGAATAGATTATGTCTCCTGTCATGACATACAAAACAACATCAACTCTTCCCATGAGGAATAGATTATGTCTCCTGTCATGACATACAAAACAACATCAACTCTTTCCATGAGAAATAGATTATGTCTCCCATCAGGACATCCAAAACAACATCAACTCTTCCCATGAGAAATAGATTATGTCTCCCATCAGGACATCCACAACAACATCAACTCTTCCCATGAGGAATAGATTATTTCTCCCATCAGGACATCCACAACAACATCAACTCTTCCCATGAGGAATAGATTATGTCTCCTGTCATGACATCCAAAACAACATGAACTCTTCCCATGAGGAATAGATTATGTCTCCTATCATGACATACAAAACAACATTAACTCTTCCCATGAGGAATAGATTACCTCTCCTATCATGACATCCAAAACAACATCAGCATGCTTAGCCAGTTTTAGTCTACAGGTCTTGATATTTTCAATGGATTTATGTCAACCCACCCGGCATTTCTCCTTATTTTAGCCCTCTGTCTCTGACCTTCTTATCTGTTCACTTGTCACTGCCCTGTCTGTCCTCCTGTCTCAGCCCCCTGTCTGTCCTCCTGTCTCAGCCCCCTGTCTGTCCTCCTGTCTCAGCCCCCTGTCTGTTCATCTGTGACAGCCCCATGTCTGTTCATCTGTGTCAGCTCCTATGTAGACAGGGTAAACCTACAGCAGGTTCTACTCCAGGACTCTAAAGTGACATCTCTTAAACTGAGTGGTCACAGATTTAGAGTTGAAGAAACCAGCTCCTTTCCACCATACCAGGTCAAGTGACTGGTGACTTCAAGTCTGGTGACAGAACTTTGAGCCTGGTCATAAAGCTCTAGTGTGAGCTAGTCTCCAGTCAGAGGTCAGTAGTGCAGCTGGTAAAGCCTCAGAATCTGCAGAATGTGAGCACAACCATAGCAGTGTCAGGGCTGAGGACACAGGGGGCCTGATGTCGGTTGGTCAGGGACAGACTGGTCACCAACTAAACATAGATCTAGGTCATTGAGGGACAGACTGGTCACCAGCTCAACATAGATCTAAGTCATTGAGGGACAGACTGGTCACTAGCTCAACATAGATCTAAGTCATTGAGGGACAGACTGGTCACTAGCTCAACATAGATCTAGGTCATCGAGGGACAGACTGGACACAACTAAACATAGATCTAGGTCAGTGAGGGACAGACTGGACACAACTAAACATAGAATAAAGATCTAGGTCAGTGAGGGACAGACTGGACACAACTAAACATAGATCTAGGTCAGTGAGGGACAGACTGGTCACTATCTCAACATAGATCTAGGTCATTGAGGGACAGACTGGTCAATAGCTCAACATAGATCTAGGTCATGATGGTTGTCATTAACTCCTTGTAGGAAACAAGCAGCTATGTTGTATCATTGGCCTCAGTGATTAAGCTGGTTGTCATGGATTGTATATTGTCTCTTGTAGCAGACATTCAACAAGTTGCTGCCAGTGTTAGGCCTTGTCTTTTGTGTGTCACTGATGAACTGTGAATTAGTTTCCTTGCTGTACATGTGTGCTGTTTTTACTTCCATGTTTGTGGTAAATAAGGGGGATCAGGACACCGGTGATAAAGCAGCCTTGTTTGAGGAGAGGCAGCAGCGCACTCAGATCCTCCAGGAGCAGGAGGAGATCATAGAGGACGATCTAGCTTTAATAAGAGAGAGAGAAGAACGTATACACCAGCTAGAGGTCAGTAGTTCAAGGTCATGTGGTCATCATTGTTTTTGTGTGTGATTTTGTTTTTTGTTTGTTTAATTTATGCTCCTTTATTTGTGAATGTTTTTTTGTTTGTGAATGTTTCTTTGTTTATGAAGAATGTTTCTTTCTTTGTGAGTTCTGTTAGTTTATTACAAGTGCACATTATTTGGCATTGTATGATTGTATGAAATAGAAAGAGGATGATACTAGATACTGTCATTGATACTGTAGAGCTGAAGGAAACAGTTGATGGTGAACCAGCCAAAATGTAAACTGTAGCTGGGACATGATAATACCAGATACTTTCAGTAAACCTGTAGCTGGGACATGATAATACCAGATACTTTCAGTAAACCTGTAGGTGGGACATGATACTACCAGATACTTTCAGTAAACCTGTAGGTGGGACATGATGCTACCAGATACTTTCAGTAAACCTGTAGGTGAGACATGATGCTACCAGATACTTTCAGTAAACCTGTAGGTGGGACATAATACTACCAGATACTTTCAGTAAATGTGTAGGTGGGACATGATACTACCAGATACTTTCAGTAAACCTGTAGGTGGGACATGATGCTACCAGATACTTTCAGTAAACCTGTAGGTGGGACATGATACTACCAGATATTTTCAGTAAACCTGTAGGTGAGACATGATGCTACCAGATACTTTCAGTAAACCTGTAGATGAGACATGATACTACCAGATACTTTCAGTAAACCTGTAGGTGAGACATGATGCTACCAGATACTTTCAGTAAACCTGTAGATGAGACATGATACTACCAGATACTTTCAGTAAACCTGTAGGTGGGACATGATGCTACCAGATACTTTCAGTAAACCTGTAGGTGGGACATGATACTACCAGATACTTTCAGTAAACCTGTAGGTGGGACATGATACTACCTGATACTTTCAGTAAACCTGTAGGTGGGACATGATACTACCAGATACTTTCAGTAAACCTGTAGGTGGGACATGATACTACCAGATACTTTCAGTAAACCTGTAGGTGGGACATGATACTACCTGATACTTTCAGTAAACTTGTAGGTGAGACATGATACTACCAGATACTTTCAGTAAACCTGTAGGTGGGACATGATACTACCAGATACTTTCAGTAAACCTGTAGGTGAGACATGATGCTACCAGATACTTTCAGTAAACCTGTAGGTTGGACATGATACTACCAGATACTTTCAGTAAACCTGTAGGTGAGACATGATGCTACCAGATACTTTCAGTAAACCTGTAGGTGGGACATAATACTACCAGATACTTTCAGTAAACCTGTAAGTGGGACATGATGCTACCAGATACTTTCAGTAAACCTGTAGGTGGGACATGATACTACCAGATACTTTCAGTAAACCTGTAGGTGAGACATGATGCTACCAGATACTTTCAGTAAACCTGTAGGTGGGACATAATACTACCAGATACTTTCAGTAAACCTGTAAGTGGGACATGATGCTACCAGATACTTTCAGTAAACCTGTAGGTGAGACATGATACTACCAGATACTTTCAGTAAACCTGTAGGTGGAGCATGATACTACCAGATACTTTCAGTAAACATGTAGGTGGGTCTTAATGCTTCCAGATACTTTCAGTAAACCTGTAGGTGGGACATAATGCTACCAGATACTTTCAGTAAACATGTAGGTGGGACATAATGCTACCAGATACTTTCAGTAAACCTGTAGGTGGGACATAATGCTACCAGATACTTTCAGTAAACCTGTGGGTGGGGATGATGCTACCAGATACTTTCAGTAAATGTGTAGGTGAGACATAATACTACCATATACTTTCAGTGACATTTTAGAAGCTGTCAATACAAGATGGACTCACACATTTTGATCCATGTCTCCATGAGAAACATAAATAGGTAGTAAACACATTACCTAAACACATATTCATGTGATACTTGTAACATATGACCAAAACCTGTGATTATTTGATATTTGAAACATTTTAAATATAACAAGAATAACTGGAAATACAACAGGGCTGAGGAGATGAAGTAAAGATCTGGTATGGTCAGTCAGCACTTATTGCTGACTGGACATCAAGCCATTACTCTACAAGTGCTGCATCCTCAGTCAGCACTTATTGCTGACTGGACATCAAGCCATGACTCTACAAGTGCCACATCCTCAGTCAGCACTTATTGCTGACTTGACATCAAGTCATGACTCTAGAAGTGCTGCATCCTCAGTCAGCACTTATTGCTGACTAGACATCAAGCCATGACTCTAAAAGTGCTGCATCCTCAGTCAGCACTTATTGCTGACTGGACATCAAGCCATGACTCTACAAGTGCCACATCCTCAGTCAGCACTTATTGCTGACTAGACATCAAGCCATGACTCTACAAGTGCCACATCCTCAGCTCTTATTGCTGACTGGACATCAAGCCATGACTCTACAAGTGCTACATCCTCAGTCAGCACTTATTGCTGACTGGACATCAAGCCATGACTCTAGAAGTGCTGCATCCTCAGTCAGCACTTATTGCTGACTGGACATCAAGTCATGACTCTACAAGTGCTGCATCCTCAGTCAGCGCTTATTGCTGACTGGACATCAAGCCATGACTCTAGAAGTGCTGTATCCTCAGTCAGCACTTATTGCTGACTGGACATCAAGTCATTACTCTAGAAGTGCTGCATCCTCAGTCAGCACTTATTGCTGACTGGACATCAAGTCATGACTCTACAAGTGCTGCATCCTCAGTCAGCACTTATTGCTGACTGGACATCAAGTCATGACTCTACAAGTGCTGCATCCTCAGTCAGCACTTATTGCTGACTGGACATCAAGCCATGACTCTATAAGTGCTGTATCCTCAGTCAGCACTTATTGCTGACTTGACATCAAGTCATGACTCTAGAAGTGCTGCATCCTCAGTCAGCACTTATTGCTGACTGGACATCAAGTCATGACTCTACAAGTGCTCCATCCTCAGTCAACACTTATTGCTGACTGGACATCAAGCCATGACTCTACAAGTGCTACATCCTCAGTCAGCACTTATTGCTGACTGGACATCAAGTCATGACTCTAGAAGTGCTGCATCCTCAGTCAGCACTTATTGCTGACTGGACATCAAGCCATGACTCTACAAGTGCTGCATCCTCAGTCAGCACTTATTGCTGACTGGACATCAAGTCATGACTCTACAAGTGCTGCATCCTCAGTCAGCACTTATTGCTGACTGGACATCAAGTCATGACTCTAGAAGTGCTGCATCCTCAGCACTTATTGCTGACTGGACATCAAGTCATGACTCTAGAAGTGCTGCACCCTCAGTCAGCACTTATTGCTGACTGGACATCAAGCCATGACTCTACAAGTGCTGCATCCTCAGTCAGCACTTATTGCTGACTGGACATCAAGTCATGACTCTAGAAGTGCTGCATCCTCAGCACTTATTGCTGACTGGACATCAAGTCATGACTCTACAAGTGCTGCATCCTCAGTACTTATTGCTGACTGGACATCAAGTCATGACTCTAGAAGTGCTGCATCCTCAGCACTTATTGCTGACTGGACATCAAGTCATGACTCTACAAGTGCTGCATCCTCAGCACTTATTGCTGACTGGACATCAAGTAATGACTCTAGAAGTGCTGCATCCTCAGTACTTATTGCTGACTGGACATCAAGTCATGACTCTACAAGTGCTGCATCCTCAGTACTTATTGCTGACTGGACATAAAGTCATGACTCTACAAGTGCTGCATCCTCAGTACTTATTGCTGACTGGACATGAAGTCATGACTCTAGAAGTGCTGCATCCTCAGCACTTATTGCTGACTGGACATCAAGTCATGACTCTACAAGTGCTGCATCCTCAGTACTTATTGCTGACTGGACATCAAGTCATGACTCTAGAAGTGCTGCATCCTCAGCACTTATTGCTGACTGGACATCAAGTCATGACTCTACAAGTGCTGCATCCTCAGCACTTATTGCTGACTGGACATCAAGTAATGACTCTAGAAGTGCTGCATGCTCAGTACTTATTGCTGACTGGACATCAAGTCATGACTCTACAAGTGCTGCATCCTCAGTACTTATTGCTGACTGGACATAAAGTCATGACTCTACAAGTGCTGCATCCTCAGTACTTATTGCTGACTGGACATGAAGTCATGACTCTAGAAGTGCTACATCCTCAGTCAGCACTTATTGCTGACTGGACATCAAGTCATGACTCTACAAGTGCTGCATCCTCAGTACTTATTGCTGACTGGACATCAAGTCATGACTCTAGAAGTGCTGCATCCTCAGTCAGCACTTATTGCTGACTGGACATCAAGCCATGACTCTACAAGTGCTGCATCCTCAGTACTTATTGCTGACTGGACATCAAGCCATGACTCTACAAGTGCTGCATCCTCAGCACTTATTGCTGACTGGACATCAAGTCATGACTCTAAAAGTGCTGCATCCTCAGTTAGGACTTATTGCTGACTGGACATCAAGCCATGACTCTAGAAGTGCTACATCCTCAGTCAGCACTTATTGCTGACTGGACATCAAGACATGACTCGATAAGTGCTGTATTCTAAATCTGTCCCTCAGTTTGCAGTAGCTGACCACCTCAGTTCCTTGTTTACAATTCTTCATGGCTTTCTATGTGGTACTAATTACAGGCTTCATCCATTTTTGATTTGTTCTTGCAGTTTGATCAAAGTTGTCAGTTCACAAGCATAAATCTATTCATTCGGTGGTTCTGCCTCTGAAAACATCAAGTATATCAGCCCAGTCTATTCCTTTTCCATTTCTACAATAGCCTAGCAACAGGCCTGTTGGCACGTTCATTAAGCTAATCTTTGTCAGCCGTGGTCAACTCACAGATTCCAACCACTATCTTTGAGCTCAATAATCTGGAGCACCCTGATCGCACACTTAATAAATGAGAAAGGGTGCCTTAGTGAAGGTCTTTGTCTCCAGCTAGGCAGTTGCTTTAGTTATATTCATAGTTAGTCTACTTATAGTGAAGGCAAAAATTCTTCCTTTACAATTCTGCCTCTGTCATGACACATACTGATGTGTTTACATGACAACATGACCTCCAGAACAGTTCTTTCTTTACAATTCTGCCTCTCTGACATGACACATACTCATGTGTTTACATGACAGCATCACCTCTAGAACAGTTCTTCCTTTACAATTCTGCCTCTGACGAGACACATACTCATGTGTTTACATGACAGCATCACCTCCAGAACAGTTCTTCCTTTACAATTCTGCCTCTGACGAGACACATACTCATGTGTTTACATGACAGCATGACCTCCAGAACAGTTCTTCCTTTACAATTCTGCCTCTCTGACGTGACACATACTGTGTTTACATGACAGCATCACCTCCAGAACAGTTCTTCCTTTACAATTCTGCCTTTGACGAGACACATACTCATGTGTTTACATGACAGCATCACCTCCACAACAGTTCTTCCTTTACAATTCTGCCTCTCTGACGTGACACATACTCATGTGTTTACATGACAGCATCACCTCCAGAACAGTTCTTCCTTTACAATTCTGCCTCTCTGACGTGACACATACTCATGTGTATACATGACAGCATCACCTCCAGAACAGATCTTAAAAACCTAGGCCTTGACTTTCTGCCTCCACAACTTTAGGTTTATTGTCTGCATCTGCTGTCTAGTTTGATGCACACTGACAAGGATGAATTTAGAATATAGATAATAACACAGTGAGTTCACCATGCTTGTCTGCACCAACTAGAAGAGTGACAGTTAGAATGTACTGCTGGTTCAATCCTGGATTTGCCAGAAAATTTGAGAACTTACTAACTCTCAGTTGATCATTGTAGAAAGAGTATAACACTTTTTTTAGTTGTGTTCAGAATTTAACGTTGATAAAATAATGAGTTTGACAGTTGATCAAAGATGTTGTTTATTCTTAGGCGGACATATTGGATGTGAATGAAATATTCCGAGAGCTGGGAGCTTTAGTTTCAGCTCAGGGAGAAGTTTTGGGTGAGTGAACACCCCCATCCTCTTCCTTGTCATTGATGTTGTGATACCTTCACACTTCTCTGAGTTTATGTTCACATCTGAATGATATTACCTTTATATCTGACTGACATTACCTTCACTGACCTTACCTTCACTGTCCTTACCTTCACTGACATTACCTTCACTAACATACCTCTACCCTTCAATGACATTACTTTCACCCTTCACTGACTTTACCTTCACACCTCATTGACTTTACCTTCACACCTCATTGACTTTACCTTCACACCTCATTGACTTTACCTTCACACCTCATTGACTTTACCTTCAAACCTCACAGACTTTACCTTCACACCTCATTGACTTTACCTTCAAACCTCAAAGACTTTACTTTCAAACCTCACAGACTTTACCTTCAAACTTCACAACTTTACCTTCAAACCTCACAGACTTTACCTTCAAACCTCACAGACTTTACCTTCAAACTTCACAACTTTACCTTCTCACCTAACTGACTTTACCTTCACACCTCATTGACTTTACCTTCAAACCTCACAGACTTTTCCTTCAAACCTCACAGACTTTATCTTCAAACCTCACAGACTTTACCTTCAAACGTCACAGGCTTTATCTTCAAACCTCACAGGCTTTATCTTCAAACCTCACAGACTTTACCTTCAAACCTCACTTACTTTACCTTCAAACCTCACAGACATTACCTTCCCACTTCTGTTGAGTATTGAACTAAGAACTGACATCACAGCATATGGAACATTCTCATGTGCTCTATCCTTATCTTCAGTAGCCAGTGAAGAGTCCCAGTTCCAGTGGTGCCTGTAGCAGTTTGATTATTTGTCCCTTTTGTCTGTCCTGAGTGAGTGCAGAGTCCGCCAGACCCCCTGGTCACTAGCAACTTGACCGTTCTCCCCAAACCATCAGACCCCCTGGTCACTGGCAACTTGATCGTTCTCTCCAAACCATCAGACCCCCTTGTCACTGGCAACTTGACCGTTCTCCCCAAACCATCAAATCTCCTTGTCACTGGAGACTTGACTGTTCTCCCCAAACCATCAGATCTCCTGGTCACTGGCAACTTGACCGTTCTCCCCAAACCATCAGATCTCCTTGTCACTGGCAACTTGACCGTTCTCCCCAAACCATCAGATCTCCTTGTCACTGGCAACTTGACCGTTCTCCCCAAACCATCAGATCTCCTTGTCACTGGAAACTTGACCCTTCTCATCAAACCATCAGATCTCCTTGTCACTGGCAACTTGACCATTCTCCTCAAACCATCAGATCTCCTTGTCACTGGCTACTTGACCGTTCTCCCCAAACCATCAGATCTCCTTGTCACTGGCAACTTGACTGTTCTCCCCAAACCATCAGATCTCCTTGTCATTGGCAACTTGACCGTTCTCCCCAAACCATCAGACCCCCTTGTCACTGATGTATTATGTGAGTTTGTCAGTCTGTCTGTCTGTGTGTGTGTGTGTGCACGCGTGCATGCGCGCATGCGAGCATGCATGTGTGTGTGTACTGGGTGCCTATGTGTTTGTGTGTAAGTGAGTGATTTGGCTTGTGTGTGTATGTGGGTTTGTGTGTGTTCGCGCGTGAGCGTGCGCATATATTTTACCACCCATGCTTTTGTTTTTGACTTTATATATATAATATGCATATTATTACATAAATATAACATGCTTCATTGATGAAATACAACTGCTGTGCGAAAGATGGAAGTTTGGAAGGGCCGAATGTAAGACAGGCCTGCGTGCCTAATTTCTAACCCTTTGAAAATAAAGTTGGTTCGTTCGTTCGTTCAACTTGACCGTTCTCCCAAAACCATCAGAATCCATTCTTGCCTTCCAATTGTTCACTTGCTCCCACATGGGCTTGACCAGATCGAGCTTGTTACACACTTGCTCCCACATGGGCTTGACCAGATCAAGCTTGTTACACACTTGCTCCCACATGGGCTTGACCAGATCAAGCTTGTTACACACTTGCTCCCACATGGGCTTGACCAGATCAAGCTTGTTACACACTTGCTCCCACATGGGCTTGACCAGATCTAGCTTGTTGCACACTTGCTCCCACATGGGCTTGACCAGATCCAGCTTGTTACACACTTGCTCCCACATGGGCTTGACCAGATCAAGCTTGTTACACACTTGCTCCCACATGGGCTTGACCAGATGGAGCTTGTTACACACTTGCTCCCACATGGGCTTGACCAGATCAAGCTTGTTGCACACTTGCTCCCACATGGGCTTGACCAGATCTAGCTTGTTGCACACTTGCTCCCACATGGGCTTGACCAGATCAAGCTTGTTACACACTTGCTCCCACATGGGCTTGACCAGATCAAGCTTGTTACACACTTGCTCCCACATGGGCTTGACCAGATCAAGCTTGTTACACACTTGCTCCCACATGGGCTTGACCAGATCGAGCTTGTTACACACTTGCTCCCACATGGGCTTGACCAGATCGAGCTTGTTACACACTTGCTCCCACATGGGCTTGACCAGATCGAGCTTGTTACACACTTGCTCCCACATGGGCTTGACCAGATCGAGCTTGTTACACACTTGCTCCCACATGGGCTTGACCAGATCGAGCTTGTTACACACTTGCTCCCACATGGGCTTGACCAGATCGAGCTTGTTACACACTTGCTCCTACATGGGCTTGACCAGATCGAGCTTGTTACACACTTGCTCCCACATGGGCTTGACCAGATCGAGCTTGTTACACACTTGCTCCCACATGGGCTTGACCAGATCGAGCTTGTTACACACTTGCTCCCACATGGGCTTGACCAGATCAAGCTTGTTACACACTTGCTCCCACATGGGCTTGACCAGATCTAGCTTGTTACACACTTGCTCCCACATGGTCTTGACAAGATCGAGCTGGTTACACACTTGCTCCCACATGGGCTTGACCAGATCTAGCTTGTTACACACTTGCTCCCACATGGGCTTGACCAGATCAAGCTTGTTTCACACTTGCTCCCACATGGGCTTGACCAGATGGAGCTTGTTACACACTTGCTCCCACATGGGCTTGACCAGATCAAGCTTGTTACACACTTGCTCCCACATGGGCTTGACCAGATCAAGCTGTTACACACTTGCTCCCACATGGGCTTGACCAGATGGAGCTTGTTACACACTTGCTCCCACATGGGCTTGACCAGATGGAGCTTGTTACACACTTGCTCCCCACATGGGCTTGACCAGATGGAGCTTGTTACACACACTTGCTCCCACATGGGCTTGACCAGATCAAGCTTGTTACACACTTGCTCCCACATGGGCTTGACCAGATCAAGCTTGTTACACACTTGCTCCCACATGGGCTTGACCAGATGGAGCTTGTTACACACTTGCTCCCACATGGGCTTGACCAGATCAAGCTTGTTACACACTTGCTCCCACATGGGCTTGACCAGATCAAGCTTGTTACACACTTGCTCCCACATGGGCTTGACCAGATCAAGCTTGTTACACACTTGCTCCCACATGGGCTTGACCAGATTGAGCTTGTTACACACTTGCTCCCACATGGGCTTGACCAGATCGAGCTTGTTACACACTTGCTCCCACATGGGCTTGACCAGATCGAGCTTGTTACACACTTGCTCCCACATGGGCTTGACCAGATCAAGCTTGTTACACACTTGCTCCCACATGGGCTTGACCAGATCAAGCTTGTTACACACTTGCTTCCACATGGGCTTGACCAGATCGAGCTTGTTACACACTTCCTCCCACATGGGCTTGACCAGATCAAGCTTGTTACACACTTGCTCCCACATGGGCTTGACCAGATCAAGCTTGTTACACACTTGCTCCCACATGGGCTTGACCAGATATAGCTTGTTGCACACTTGCTCCCACATGGGCTTGACCAGATCAAGCTTGTTACACACTTGCTCCCACATGGGCTTGACCAGATCAAGCTTGTTACACACTTGCTCCCACATGGGCTTGACCAGATCAAGCTTGTTACACACTTGCTCCCACATGGGCTTGACCAGATCCAGCTTGTTACACACTTGCTCCCACATGGGCTTGACCAGATCAAGCTGTTACACACTTGCTCCCACATGGGCTTGACCAGATGGAGCTTGTTACACACTTGCTCCCACATGGGCTTGACCAGATGGAGCTTGTTACACACTTGCTCCCACATGGGCTTGACCAGATGGAGCTTGTTACACACTTGCTCCCACATGGGCTTGACCAGATCAAGCTTGTTACACACTTGCTCCCACATGGGCTTGACCAGATCCAGCTTGTTACACACTTGCTCCCACATGGGCTTGACCAGATCCAGCTTGTTACACACTTGCTCCCACATGGGCTTGACCAGATCCAGCTTGTTACACACTTGCTCCCACATGGGCTTGACCAGATCAAGCTTGTTACACACTTGCTCCCACATGGGCTTGACCAGATCAAGCTGTTACACACTTGCTCCCACATAGGCTTGACCAGATGGAGCTTGTTACACACTTGCTCCCACATGGGCTTGACCAGATCTAGCTTGTTACACACTTGCTCCCACATGGGCTTGACCAGATCAAGCTTGTTACACACTTGCTCCCACATGGGCTTGACCAGATGGAGCTTGTTACACACTTGCTCCCACATGGGCTTGACCAGATCTAGCTTGTTACACAAAACTTTACCACTCATTGGTGCAGAACCAGCCAGTCTGTGTACATCTTCATTATCTAACACTGCTGCATGTTCATTATCTAACACTGCTGCATGTTCATTATCTAACACTGCTGCATGTTCATTATCTAACACTGCTGCATGTTCATTATCTAACACTGCTGCATGTTCATTATCTAACACTGCTGCATGTTCATTATCTAACACTGCTGCATGTTCATTATCTAACACTGCTGCATGTTCATTATCTAACACTGCTGCATGTTCATTATCTAACACAGCTGCATTTTCATTATCTAACACTGCTGCATATTCCAGAGAAAATATCCATACAAGGTTAACTACCATGGAACTCTGAAGCAATGCTTGCCACTCTGCATGGAGCACGCCTGTCTCCAGCTTTCATGTGTGTGCAACTAGTTCTCAAGCCAGCAGAAACTTGCTGTGACTGCCTCCACCTCCATTCTCAGATTAGATGTTGTAGTATCATATGCCAAACTTTGTTGCACTAAAGGACGTTCATTCACTTTTGCTGTCAACCCCTCTGTACAGATAATCACATCACCTGGATGGAAATTGTCATAAATAAATTGTTGTCTTTCTTCATACCACTTTTTTAGCACAATATAGGAGATAAATAAATGGGCTATAAGAAAATATTTATCTTGAAAATGATGATTCATTATAAAAAAATACATGTTTCAAATTAGTAAAACTTTAGTTCAATTTTTCTATGAATCTACTGGATAACAATTGTTACCAACGACCGGCCACGCCAGCCTCACAAAAACAAGAATTCCCCTTCAGCTGTATGGCCTTATATCTGGAGCTGGCCGTGAGAATGCATACACCCTAGAACAGTGTACATACACCCTAGTGCAGTGTACATACACCCTAGTGCAGTGTACACACACCCTGGTGCAGTGTACATACACCCTAGTGCAGTGTACATACACCATAGTGCAGTGTACATACACCCTAGTGCAGTGTACATACACCATAGTGCAGTGTACATACACCCTAGTGCAGTGTACATACACCCTAGTGCAGTGTACATACACCCTAGTGCAGTGTACATACACCCTAGTGCAGTGTACACACACCCTGGTGCAGTGTACACACACCCTGGTGCAGTGTACACACACCCTGGTGCAGTGTACACACACCCTAGTACAGTGTACACACACCCTAGTACAGTGTACACACACCCTAGTACAGTGTACATACACCCTAGTACAGTGTACATACACCCTAGTACAGTGTACATACAACCTAATACAGCTTGGACTCTTTTCTAGTATCTCTGTTTATGCATGGCTGAGTCCTAGTCCTAGTACAGTGTACACACAACCTAATACAGTGTACACACAACCTAGTACATTGTACACACAACCTAGTACAGTGTACTTACAACCTAGCACAGTGTACATACAACCTAGTACAGTGTACATACACCCTAGTACAGTGTACATACACCCTAGTACAGCGTACATACAACCTAATACAGCTTGGACTCTTTTCTAGTATCTCTGTTTATGTATGGCTGAGTGTCAGATCTCCAGAATATACTCAGTCGTAGAAAGGACCAGATCCTCATACCAGACATAGAGATGAAGCTACTCACAGTGTGCACTTCCATGCATGCCAGCATTAGGTTTATCACAACCATGCCCCTCCCTCTTCCAGGGTTCAGTACCAGATGGTCTGTTTGTGTAGAAAAAACAAACAACAACTGAGCAGTAGCTTGCCTTAGATGAGTCTTTCCACAGCCTCCGAGCATCACATCATTGGAGTTCTCACTAGAGCTGTCTTCATGCCTGGTCCCAAACAACCTCCGAGCATCACATCATTGGAGTTCTCACTAGAGCTGTCTTCATGCCTGGTCCCAAACAACCTCCGAGCATCACATCATTGGAGTTCTCACTAGAGCTGTCTTCATGCCTGGTCCCAAACAAGCTGTGAGCATAACATCATTGGAGTTCTCACTAGAGCTGTCTTCATGCCTGGTCCCAAACAAGCTGTGAGCATAACATCATTGGAGTTCTCACTAGAGCTGTCTTCATGCCTGGTCCCAAACAAGCTGTGAGCATAACATCATTGGAGTTCTCACTAGAGCTGTCTTCATGCCTGGTCCCCAAAAACCTCCGAGCATAACATCATTGGAGTTCTCACTAGAGCTGTCTTCATGCCTGGTCCCAAACAAGCTGTGAGCATAACATCATTGGAGTTTTCTCATAAGAGCATGCTGTCCCAAACAAGCTCCGAGCATAACATCATTGGAGTTCTCACTAGAGCTGTCTTCATGCCTGGTCCCAAACAACCTCCGAGCATAACATCATTGGAGTTCTCACTAGAGCTGTCTTCATGCCTGGTCCCAAACAAGCTGTGAGCATAACATCATTGGAGTTCTCACTAGAGCTGTCTTCATGCCTTGTCCCAAACAAGCTGTGAGCATAACATCATTGGAGTTCTCACTAGAGCTGTCTTCATGCCTGGTCCCAAACAAGCTGTGAGCATAACATCATTGGAGTTCTCACTGTCTTCATGCCTGCCCAAACAAGCTGTCTAACATCATGCCTGTCTTCATGCCTGGTCCCAAACAAGCTGTGAGCATAACATCATTGGAGTTCTCACTAGAGCTGTCTTCATGCCTGGTCCCAAACAAGCTGTGAGCATAACATCATTGGAGTTCTCACTAGAGCTGTCTTCATGCCTGGTCCCAAACAAGCTGTGAGCATAACATCATTGGAGTTCTCACTAGAGCTGTCTTCATGCCTTGTCCCAAACAAGCTGTGAGCATAACATCATTGGAGTTCTCACTAGAGCTGTCTTCATGCCTTGTCCCAAACAAGCTGTGAGCATAACATCATTGGAGTTCTCACTAGAGCTGTCTTCATGCCTGGTCCCAAACAAGCTGTGAGCATAACATCATTGGAGTTCTCACTAGAGCTGTCTTCATGCCTTGTCCCAAACAAGCTGTGAGCATAAACATCATTGGAGTTCTCACTAGAGCTGTCTTCATGCCTGGTCCCAAACAAGCTGTGAGCATAACATCATTGGAGTTCTCACTAGAGCTGTCTTCATGCCTGGTCCCAAAC